CATTCACTCCTTTCCTACCTGGGTCTAAGGAAAGTTCTTTGGACTAAAATTCAGACTTGTTCCAGCATTCTTGGGGTGCAATTATACAGCCCTAACTCACACTCATACATACCGCTAATGAAAATTGGCACAACTCAAGGGACCTGCCCCACAGTCTTCAGGGACTACTCACATAACCAAAAGCTGCAAAACTGAGTCACAAGCCTTATAGGTGTAACCCGGGTGGTACGCGGAAGGTACCCCCTCTTCAAATGGAAGGGATGTTAGTGGGAGTGTGTATGCTATGGGAAGCGTGGCTGTCTAGCTATAGGCCAGCTTACCTCCTTCCCTACAAAGCAGAGCAGAGTAGACTAGGAGTCACAATGATTCTTAACTATGTACAGGTTTAATGTTATACATTAATAAATAATTTACAGTCATAAACTTACATACATGAATACACACACACACGTGTGTATATATATGGGGGTGTATCTGTATGTATGTATACACACACACACACACACACACACACTCTTTGCAGGCACTTATATATGCATATAAGTGCTGATTACAGATATACTTTTACCCAAACAAAAGGCTCTAATTAACCCCAAACTCAACCACAGGCCTATCCTCTGGCCTTCTAATTAGTCTGCAATCCCGCCCCCCCAGCAGGGCCCCACTAGGCAGCAGGCAAAGGAGCACTTAATGATAAAGCATCAGGTTAATCAACGGACCAATGACAAAAATAATAGGCAGTGATGAGTAAATAATTTGACATATACAATAAGGTTACATCCAACAGAGACCTATATACCTAAAGATAGTCAATACAAATCAATGACAAAAATACCTGGTAGTAATAGAACAATATATATACATATATAATAAGGTTACATCAACCAGAACATATGAACATAAAATACCCAATACACTAGGTACAGATATAGTAAGGCTAATAATTCTCTTCTAATACATCAGACGCAAGATAACAATAAAAACCCCAGCATCATGGGACAAGAAGCAGAACCTAACAGTGGCACAGCTGCTGTGCCCAAAGAACCAAAGCAGGGTCCCCATTGCCTAATAGGGCACCATTACCCTCTCCAAGTTACTCAGCTGGGCAGGGTCCCAAACCAGGGAACCTCACATACCAAACAGGAGCCCTGGATCCCTCTTTAGGTCCCAGGGTGAATTATCCCCTCCCATCAGGGGCTTCCCCTCAGCTCCCCACAGGGGGAAGGGGACCCCTCCTCCCCTGTAGGAATCCCCTTCCCAGGTGACTCATGACTCCACAGGCTTGAAGGGGTAGGCTTATCTCCAGTGGTGAGTTGGGGCAAGATATTCCCCCTCACACCCCCTTGCTGGGATGGTCGACCTGTGCCACTCCGGGAAGAAGGCCCAAGTTGCCTCATGCAGCTCTTCTGGCCTGCCAGCCTACTCTCCGCCTGTGCACTACTCCGTGCACTGATGCCCTGGCTCCTGCCTCATGCAGGGTCGGGGACCTATGCTGCCTCGTGCAGCTGCCACAGTCCCATCCACTCCCAGACTCTCTGTGCACTGGTCCATGCACCGGCTCTCCAGCCCTGTGCACTGGTCCATGCACCGAGGGCTTTTATACCTGCCTCATACAGGGTTGGGGACCCGAGCTGCCTCATGCAGCTGCTGAGGTCCTGTCCACTCCCAGATCCTCCATACACTGACCTGTGCACTGGGTTGTCCAGCCCCTATGCATTGGTCCCTGTACCAAATGGCACTTGGCTCCCGCCTCATGCAGGGTTGGAGACTTAAGCTGCCTCATGCAGCTGCTGAGGTCCCATCCACTCCCAGATCCTCTGTGCACTGACCTGTGCACCATCGCCATGGCTCCCTCTGTTGTGGGGCAGGGAAACAGCCACTTGCTGTGCCCCGGTTGGCAAAGACATCTTCACACAACTCCCCCACAACTATTGTGGAGGAGGCTCCCACAGCAGGAGGGAGGCTCATGCAGCTCATGTGGTAGGGGGCTACATATGGTGGGGGTCCCAGAAGCCTGAGTGATATGAGGCCCCTGTGGGTTAAGAGACTTAACCCAGGTTGGACAGCTCTGGGTTAAGTCACACATTGCCCCAAAAATTCTCAGGGTGCATCCAGATGAGCGCGGACACATGGTATGCAGTGCCGCAGACCCATCTGCAGTACCGCACACCACACACACCATGCATGCAGGTATTCCCTGCATTTCTAATCTGCAATGTGCAGGGAGAGAGAGCGGTTTAACACTGGGATCTCCCACTGTCAAAACAACCCACACAGAAAGCAGGGTGGCACATGTGGCAATGGCATGCACCACCAGAAACCAGAGCCTGGCTGGCCAGAGCCATACTCCAGCTGCTGGCCAGGCTTCATGCTGCTGGATTGCTATGGCTGCAGCTCCCAGAGGCCCTCAGGACCCCAGGTAAAGCTGTTGGGGCCAGCCCAGGTGCTCACTCCAGCCTCTCCTACCCCACCCAGGGCAACATGCCACGCACCAGAGTCCACACACACAGGTGTAGATTTAGGCTAGATATCAGGAGGCGCTACTTCACGGTCAGGGCGGCTAGGATCTGGAACCAACTTCCAAGCAAAGTGGTGCTGGCTCCTACCCTGGGGGTCTTTAAGAGGAGGCTAGATGAACACCTTGCTGGGGTCTTTGACCCCAGTACTCTTTCCTGCCATGGCAGGGGGTCGGACTCGATGATCTGCTCAGGTCCCTTCCGACCCTAGAAACTATGAAAAACTTGTATACTCCTCACTCAACCTGCCCCCCCCCACACACACACACACTTAGGGAAAACCAAGGCAAAGGGATAAGCCTTGTACCATGGCCTGAACATCAACAAAATCAGGCTTTTTTGCTCCCATCAGTGGCTTGCCCCAAATAGAAACATAGAAGAAATGTTTCCTGCTACTCCCAAACACTGGGTGAAAACAGAGACAGCCCTGAAGGAGCCATAACCACTGCTGCACAGAGATTACTGAGCATATGCAAAAATACTGCAGAAAAGGTATTTTTTAAAAGAACCTCAACATGTGGTGTACTTGAGGGCTTTCCTAAATAATGATACTTCCTTCCCAAATCTTTCCTCTATACTCCTGTTTGCTTGGATTTGAATGTGGAGAAAGACTACTAACTTGAGGACTAACATCAAGCCAGGTAGTGGACATAGACAATCCACAGAATCACAACTTAACCCTTTCTCCCCTTCAGCCTTCGAAAGAAGCAAGCTGAACTAGTCTTCTTCCAAACTCAACTAATGCTTCCTTCTCTGCCCTCTTAGCAAAACACAGAAGGACAGGGCCACTGATCCAGCTCCTGCCTGCCCTGCCCTCATTGATCAGGCCAGGCAGAGGAGTTCTGGTCCAGTGACAGCTTCTTTTCCACCCCTTTTAACCTTTACCTTTGCCACAGGGTGCTCCCTATGGCAAGTGAGAGTCATGTTCCAGTCTTATACAGTTTGTCACCTGAATATATCTGAACAGCCCAAGGCAAGAAAAGATGTCCACTTAATTTTTTTAGTTTTGGTAGCTAAGGAAAGAACAGATATGATACTGAACACCTCCAAGGGACCTCTTCTTGCTTCACCCATCTCATCCTTCTCCATCACTGAACAAACCCTGAGAAGACCCATTGTTGATACGGAGACCTAGAAGAGCTTATACATGTCATCTGAGTTAGGTGGAGGCATATTATCTCTTCTGTTACTCTACTCCCACTGGGTCCAAAAGGGTAGCATCTGAACATAGTACATAGATCCTTAACCTCCTCTGGCCCTAGGCTAAAAATAATGAGCACATAAGTTACCAAAGGCATCATACACCATCCTTTGCTGTCCCTATCATACCCAAGAAAGACGTGGCCATGGAAATGAAGATTTCCTCAGATTGTAAACAACACCAGAAGGGATCATGAGCAACATGTTGTCTGCAAGCTAGACACCGAAGTCAACTGATTTAGTAGAAGAGGAAGAAGAAAGAGACATCTAGCAGCCATCTCTGAGTAGAGCTGCAGGTTTTCCCTGGTGTAGGCAGAGGACTGGGGAAGCAGCTTGCTTGATGACTCCCCCATGCTGCAGCACCAAAGCTAGAGGGTCAGGGAAAACTGAGGGGCTATAGGAGGAGTGGAGCGTGTTGCCTGCTGATTTCTGCAAGCTGGAGAGCTAAAACCAAAGGACAGGAGAAGGCTGTAAGGCAGGAGCAGAGAGACAAGCAGTGTGCCTGCCTGCTGGCCTGCCCATGCAAAAAATAAACAGCATAGGGAGAGTGATGGCACCTCCCCTAGAGAAAGAACTCAAACAGAGAACAATTGTGGAGTTATTGCTGGGAAGGGCAGGAAAGGACTCCATCAGGAAGAGCTGAGGTCACTGTTTTATATACTAGGGAGTGGCAGAAGATGCTGGAAATGGAATACCTAATACAAAATTTCAAGGACTATGCCAGTGATTCGCAATCGGGGTTGCCATGGCACCCTGAGATCCTTTTTTAAGGGAGTCCCAGAATGCAAAGAAATAACCTCTTGCATTTTCTCACCTGGCCGTTATGCATGGAGGTAAGCACTTTAATAAATACATTATTTTTACTATTTTAATATAGTAAGTAAATTAACTAAACTCAGACTAGTTATGGAAGGGAGGGGTGCCTAGAGTCTAAAAGATTGAGAACTGCTGGACTGTACATTGGGATTTTAAGATTTATTGGCACCGTGTGATAAGCTGCTCTGATTACAGTACTATGAGTCTTAAGAAAGCCTGTGGTGGCAGATCTGATGGGCTGAGGAGTAAAGAACAGTGATAGCATTCCTTCAGTATTGCACTTGCCACAAAGGGGCACTTTGGCTGTAAGGCAGATCTGTCACATCTAGTGGGAGCTTCACAGAACCTAAGGGGAGGATACAGAGGCATCTCGGGAGGTCCAGGAGGCATCTCCACAGCCTCTCATTAACCAGCAAACTGAACGTGGACCTAGGTCTTTGTTCCAAAGATGTTAAAAAGGCAAAGGCCCTGCAGGTGTTGTATGGGCTTCTCTGAGTTCTGTGTCTTTGTGACTGTCAAATTCCACAGAAAATCCCTCCTAAACTACAGGAAATTGCTGAAAAGCTCAGAGTGACTGGGAATCATGGGCCATTCCTTGTGAAAGGGACAGGAAGCATGCAGTTTGGGACCAAAATCTTGGTTCAGGCTTTTCCTCTGAGGAGGCAACTATCTAGAGAGATGACGCACCAGCAGATGGTAAAAGCTACAGTATAGACTGCGGAAGTTCAGTTGTGTCTTTATTTCCAGGCAATGCTAAGCAGCTGGTTATAAAATGCAGGAAAAGTGTGCAAGAAATCTTGAGCTGGTCAGTGGTTTTGCACTGATGCAGGCAGCTAATTAATGTTTTGTGGTTTCACTATTTCTGATGGCCACCTGAAATGAACTTCCCAGCCTTGAGGTTTACCCATCACTCCCCTAGAGCCAGCATTGGCTCTACCTGTAATTAAGTTAAATGATCATCCTGGAGACAAGATGGGATGAAAAAAGTTAAGGATGATTGACTGAGCACAGCAGAGTTGAGAACAGCCCATACTTTAGAGGTCTCCTATTGGGACTGAGCTGGTATGTTTCCAGCCATTTATATAACCGATGAATGCTACTTCTGCTCTCTATCCCATATGAGTCATGTATTCTTAAAGGGTTACATTATAAAGATCTCAAAGCAGTATGTAATCTATTTTTCCTTACCTTCTGCAAGGCAGCTGCTCTGACACGCTGCACCAACCAGGCCAGTTCTGCAAAAGTGCCTAAGGACTTTGGTTTGACCTGTGCAGTGCACTGAATTGTAACATGGCAATGGGTTTCTCTTAGTTCATATGAGGAGTTGCACTCATACATAATACATTTTTAAAACCCAGATGGGGGGGGGGGGCAAACTTATGGCCCATGGTTCAGATCTGGCCCACAGAGCTGCACTGTGTGGCCCATGGGACTTGTAGAGGGGACAGGAATATGGGGACAGGGCCCACTGCCAAAATTTAGGGCACATAGCCTCACTAGGGATATGTATCAGTGGGGGAAATAAAGTTGCTGCCATGTCCAGTCTGGCCTGGGGGGTGGCATGAGTCTGGATCAGATGAATGCAAGACATGATTTCACATTTTATAAATTACTCAGTTTAACAGTAAACACATCATTAAATGGGGGATGTTATCAATGCAATGTGAAATGAAGAAAAGGCAACAGCCACGTGATTGGAAGCTCTTTTATACAGAGCAGTCAGCACAGCGAGACCCTTGTGGGAGTCTCCTGGTACTCCTGCAATACAAACAATGAAAGTGTGAACTGAAAGATCCAGGCTGCTGTTTGGCCATGATCCCATAAAGGAAGCTAATCCTTCAATCTCTGCACATACAAGTAGCCCTAACTCAGTGTTCCATTGAAATCAGTGGAACCACTTATCTCAGAATTGCAGGACTGGCCTCACCTACACAGGTTATCTCAGGATACTGAAAAACTGGACTTTGTGCAAGTTTTTGAAGAGGCCTGGAAGAGTCATCCTTTGCTTGTGTGTTTTACACTCATTACCAAAATGCTGAAAATATAACATTTCACAAAAAAGAACCTTATAAAGGTGAACTAAAAGGTGACACGGTGAGCAGTGGTCTCAGCATCATAAATAAGAACAGCGATGGTCATTAACTAGAAACCTGGTTTCTGTTCTCAGCAAGGGGATTTTAATGGCTATAATGACATGAAAATATATCATCACTCTTACAAGTGATCCCTTGCAAAAAGTCTTGAGGCAATGTGGTTCAGCAAAGTATGGAAAGATTCAGTGCAAGCTAGAATTGTGCTTCTCTGTATCTGTTATGTGAATAAACACAGGGCTTTAGTTTCTTATCTCTCAGTCTGGTAGTATCAACCAGCACTATAAATTTCAGTAAAATACTGGGAGAATGAAAACAAGTGCAAATCCAATAATCACAACATGTCTATAGTATGTCTGACAAATCATTGTGAAATTTGCACTACCCCTGGCAAATGTCTTCAGTTCTTTCAAACCAAGAAAGGGTTTGCTTTGGGGACATTTTTGTTGTTGCCTGATTTACCATAATATGTTCCCTGTTTTATTGAACACATTTGGTGAGGGAAAAGCTAGTGACTAAGTATGCTTCACTCAACTCTCACTGCCACTTCAGAGCTCTGCCCCCAACCTCCACCCAACTCCCAGCTCTGGGGTCTCCTCACAGCTTGATTCCAGTCCCCTGATCCAACTATGAGGCTTTTTTTTCCTCCAGGAAGACTCCTATAGACCTCTGTGCTGCAACACTTCCAGGAATGTAGCTGTGGGAGAGAGAGAAACCCCAGAAGAAGTATGAAGTTCAATTTTTAACTAAAATTATGATTTATGGGGAACAGCTGAACAGGCTAGGCAAGGTTTCATTTAAGTAGATTTGGAGGCCACAAATGATTTAGTAGGATTTTATATACATACTATTTTGTGAATCCTGATGTCAAACATGTATGTATTAGGTCTTTTCCTGCTTGCTTTATTTTTAGTCTTATCTGTGACTCTTATCAACATATCATCTACACATCTCACATACACTGATGAATTTGTCCTCATAAAACCACTGAATAATTGAGCCATACCAAGAAATTAAAGTTAACTAGCTGAGCTCACACACGAAGCCTGTAGCAGAGGTAGGAGTAGATCCCAGGCTTCTTGAAACCCAGTTCTAGATCTCCAACTATATGATGCTATGTAGTATCTTATACCACAGTCATCACTGTAACATCTGTGGTCCTTCCAGTAGGGTTTCATGGGATATTAGGAGATTTCGTGTAGCTGTGGTGTATGAGAATGGCCAGAGGGGTTGTTCCCCAGGGCCCTTGTGTGCAAACATGCTTTACAAGGTTGCCTACAATCCCAGAGGATAGGACTCAGATAACTGAGTACTCTTCTAGTTATATGTTCCTGTTCAGTCACAAAATTACCTTTCTTACCCCTATACTCCACTCTCAGTCAACCCTATTCATTCACAAACATTAAAGTTCACATCTCTTACTAAGCATTGGCTTCAATTTACTGTTACACTCATCTCCCAGTAATTTAGAAGTTAAACAACTGGCTTAAACTGTGTGCAAATAAAGCAGAGTCTTAATACTGCAGTGCTGTAGTAATACAGTAGCACAGCACAGAAACAGAAAACTTCAATACACTTTTTCTTTTATTCCCATGTTTTGTTTTGGTTTGTTTTGGCTGCTTGCTTGCTTGCTTGCTTGCTTGCTTGTTTTTTAAGGATCTTTCTAAGACACAGCCTCATTATTGTTTTGACTAAGCATTAGGCTAGCTTTATGCAATGATATTATTCCCATTTTACCAATGGTGAACTGAGGCAGAGAGCAAGCAAGGGGCAGATTTAAGTTCCTAACCATTCAAATCAGCACCTGCTGAGATTTTCAGAAGTGCCCGTGTGCTTTTGAAAATCCCAGTAGGCACTCCTCTGCTTCCTTAGACACCTGATCTACCTTTAGGAGTCCGGCAGTAAGTGGCCTATCCAATGCCACGCAAGAAATCTGTGGCAGACCAAGACATCGACAACTGTTCTCTTCAGTCCCAGGTTAATGCCCAGAATAATGGACCATCCTTTCTTTCCCAGTCACTTCTGTCTTTTGTTGCCACATAATATACATACATCCCTGCTTAACAATGACAACCAAAAATGATCAATCAGCAGAAAACATGCATCATGCAAACATCCACAGCAAAATAGTAAAAAAAAAATGTAGAGTTTTTACTTCCTTAATTATTTAGAGTGCATTAAAATGAAAAGATAGCTGAACCCTACAAAGATAACAAGATACTTTTGCTTGTCTTCTCATCTTTGAGTTCAGAACATATAACAGACATGACAATAACTTGCATTCAGTTTTAGTTGTGTGAAAGTCTGATGAAAGCTAAATTATGAGAGCATTGGCTGGTGAGAACTAATCAGTGCAATCTTTTTTTTTAAATGTTACCTAATGAAGTTTTTTGGATAGGTACCATATTTACTAGGGCTGTAAGAAGCTTTGGTCGCTGATTCAATCTGGTGGGAATTTGGCCTGATTCGGTGGCCGAATCTCCGAATCTGAATCAAATCAGGAGACCGTTTAATCTCTCCAAATAGAATCAAAACCCTCCAAATGGATTCGGAGAGATTCAACGATTCAGACGTAAACACAGCTTTAAATGTTTTTTCTACATACCTCAAGGTACCAGGCAGCTCGTGAATGCTGTGATGCTGGGACGGATGGAGCATCCCACAGAAGCATGGGGTGGGGGAGGGGGTCCCCAGCATGCTCAGCAGCAGACCCAGAAGTGAACCAGAAGCACTTTTGGTCCACTTCCAGGTCTGCCAGGGAGCACACTGGGGGGGTTCCCTGTGCCCCTCCCCTGGCTCGGCAACTGGTACCTGCTGGGTCTGAGGAGGCACCTGGGGTCCACCCGTGGCCGATCGCCAAGCTGGAGGGTTGTAGGGGGGGGCCCTGTGCACTCAGCAGCGGACCCAGAAGTGGACCCAAAGTACTTCCAGTCCACTTCCAGGTTCACCGCTGAGCATACGGGGAGCTCCCCCTGCACTCCAGTGGAACACTCCATCCGCCCCACCATCGCACCATTCATGAGCCACACCTAGTAAGTATAAGGTATGTAGAAAAAACATTTAAAGCTGTGTCTATGGCTGAATCAATGATTCTCCAAATCAGCACTGAATCTTCAGATTTGGATTTGGCCAAATCAAATCAGGGACAGTGATCCAAATCAATTAATCGAATCACTGTCCCTGATTCGGGCTGAATCCAAATCTAAATCAAATACAGCCCTTTTTGCACACCCTTAATATTTACTCAAACAGAAAATGAGCCTGATTATAAAATGATTACCCAATAATTAGATTCTATATGCAAAATGTATAAATTTATTATAATTTTCTAGGTATAGAATCTAATTATTGTAGGTTTTCCTTGAATTTGACCCCCTCACACAGCTACA